AGCAGTAAGTATGTAAGTTGTGTGACTTATGTAATTTATTACATGTATACATCTATTATTTTTATAGTAATGCACTTTTTAAATTATGTGTAGTAATTACAATTGTAATAAGCTTCTTGTTTTTGTTTTTTTTTTCTATTGCCTATGTTACTTGACTAGTGTGTGTATTATTATTATTGTTATTATTTTAGTTGTGTGACTTATGTAATTTATTACATGTATACATCTATTATCAAAGGGACTATTTCCACATCTTAGGCTTTTTGCCTGTATAGATATATGGAAAATAAAGGAAATGAATGAATGAATGAACTTTGTTGGTTGAGCGATATACTACACACTGCTTTTGCCAACTACGTAGTAGCCAGTTCAGTGTCTCATGGAGGTCCCTCCCTAGAGCAATTATAAATGCATGAGAAGATTTTATTTATTTTGGTCACTTCAAGCTAGTATAATAAGACTAGCAGGATGTGTCTGAAAGTTCTATTCGAACAGGTGAGAATATTTCTTCTTCTCTTCATTTTGACTCACCCAGATGCCAGGATTGAAGGATGACAAGACACTGGAGTGTCAATGATGTACTGACAGAACAGTCACATGGACATGAGATAGCCAGAACCTGGTCCTTTCAGACTAAGAATGACATTACTAGGGTCTTAACTTATAAGAGGTCACAGGAGGAATGCATAATGAAAATCCATATACAACAGTGGACAAAATTATAGTATCATATCAGCTACAGGATGGGTCAAAATGAAGAAGTATTTTGGCAACATGATACAGTGGCACACAGCCCATAGGATTGCGGGTGAGCAACCACAGTAATGCAGCACACAGATGATAAAGGAAGGACTGGATATGTAGCTCACATGAGAAAAGATGTAACACAAAATTTTAGAATTCCTTAATGAAAGCCACAACTTGCAAGGCCAAATTCATTAGACAGTATCATCCATGCGGGGATTTTACAAACTGGCTTTTGACAGGGAAAATGACAGACAGAAATTAAATATTACATATGGAAAATGCTGAATACATGAACCTGAAATTAAAATTATCTTTTATTGATGTGCGGGAAATGAGTGAACTTGGGGGAGATCATGTCAGTCTGTCCACATGTTACATCCCTGACACTACTGAACAGATTTTATATTATATTTGGGTTTAATGTTCTACACTAAGTCTCTGGGTGAGTTCTATTTTTATCTTCACTACTGGTCAAATACAGCCCAACTTTATACAAAGTACAAATTCAACAATATTGACTTTCTCGAAAATGGTTCTCTTTAAGATTTACGATTTTTATTTGAAATACTAAGGTGGTGCATAATTAATAAAATACAAGGTAAAATACTATCTGGCTTATATGCTGTGATACCAAACATGACTATATCAACTTTAGCCTAACCCAGTCCATCTGTATTATGACTTGACAGAAATATGACCATGTAACTGAAAACCTTCAACTCTCTGCCTGACTCTGTCTCTGCCTGTGATACCTGTGGCATCATTAATTTTGCAACAACCTTTGGAACTGCAATAAATGAATGTCAAAGTAAGTGAAGTGTGCACAATCACAAGAAATACAGCTGGAAAATCTTTCAACTTGGGTTGCTATAAGATAAATCAGAGAGAAACCTTTGTATTTGTATTTGTCATAACCATACTTTTAGAGATTTTTATGCCATCAGACAACATGTTGATTCTGTTATGTACAATAAGTGATTGAATTGAATATAACAATAGATCAAACTCAGTGGTTTTTAATCCGCAAGCAAACCATACCGACTAAGCGACCACCGCTTGTTGGCGAAGTTAGTGCCAACTTCAGCGGATAGAGGGTGTCGCGTGGTCAGCGCAACAAATCCCCATGGCATTTAATTTCGGTTTTCTAGACCAGTACTGCTATTTCCTTGAAATAGCTCCTTAATTATCCTCATGAGGCTGAGTGGACCCTGTTCCAGAACCACTACTTCTCAAAAAACCTGGTAGCACCAGGAATCAAACCTCGACCTCTAGATCTTTAGCCAGGAACTCCTACCTCTAGACCACAGAGGCAGTCTTAACAATAGATCAACTGGTTTATTATATTAAACACTACATATTTCGGCCATAGTTGACCATATTTTTTGGTACATTAGTACTGTTATAGTGGTTGGAATAGCTTCATATTTTCTTCCAAGTGTCAAGCTCATACACATATGTAGGCTCTGAAGAAAATGTTTATATGTAATGTTGAGAAGTTACACAGTATTTCAATATGGTCATTGTAAGTCAGTATGTTAAGATTGATGGTTTCTGTGAATAAGGATATTAAGTGTACTAGGAGTGTACTGTGCTGTGGTTGCTTTTGTGAACTGAATTTTTTCTCTGTGTAAAGTGTTTCTCAATGTAAATAGTTTTGGTTGTGGCAGATGACACATATACTCTTTTCACTAAATGAAGTCTCATTACCTTGTAATGTGCTACAGTGCCTGACTGAAGATCAGATTCAATGTTTCCGGGATCTAGATAGGCAATACTCATGAGAAACCCAGGTCCAGTGAAAGCCCATAAGACTCGGAAACTGAATCCTTTCTGAAACGAAATGGATACAGCCTGTAGAATACTGACAACTCAAAGAAAATCTGAAATCTTGACAAATGTTTACCTTCATCCATAGTTCTTAGTACAACCAATTCTGTCTGAATAAGTCAAGATGAAGATCAGATGAGCAAATTAATGTACCACACACAATTTCCATAATGTAAAAAATGCAATTTCTCATCTATCTATGCAAGAAAGTTACAATACGATGGAAACTAAAGAAACTAAATGAATGTATGTCAATTAAAAATATGTGACAGAAATTAATTACACTAAATAAGTGAATCCACATGCATTTCTTTATCAGTAATGACAAACAAATTTTTAACATTAACATTCTTACTTTTAGTATCATAAAGGACAAGTGTTCTAGAAAATTATTCTATAAAATAAAATAAACTAATAACAGTACAATGACACCATCAATACATTCGAGACAGAAGCATTGCGACTTTACTCATGCATCATAACACAAGGAAAAGCTAACATAGACTTTATATGGCCTCCATGTAGTTGTCTCACATGCCTGAAAACAAAAATTGCACATTTTTCAAGTGAATTAAAATACAAAATTTCTGAACCCTATATCAAGTGGCTCCCAACTCACAAGTTCACATAGCAAACATGTTGGTATTACTGTTCAGAGAGAAGCACAGAGTACAAATTTAAGAGCAGATTAATTACTGTAAACTGTTGCATCAAGCTCAGCACTTGCTGCAGGAAGCTTACCACAAAAGCTTACACAAACTAGTCTACTCTTTTAAATTAAATATCCCATAGAAAAGTGGAGGGTTCTGTATGGGTGTGAAACTTGGTCTCTGACATTACAGGAGGAACATAGACTGAGGGTGTTTCAGAACAGGGTGTTGAAGAGAATATTTGGACCAAAGAGAGATGAAGTGACAGGAAGTTTCGAGAAAACTTCATAACGAGGAGCTTCACAACTTGTACTCTTCTCCGAGAATAATTAGAATGATCAAGTCAAGGAGGATGAGGTGGGCAGGGCATGTAGCACAAATGGGGGAGATGAGGAATGCATATAGGATATTGGTGGGAAAGCCAGAAGGAAAGAGACCACTGGGAACACCAAGTCATAGGTGGGTGGACAATATTAAAATGGAGCTTAGAGAGATAGGATGGGATGATACGGATTGGACTGGTCTGGTTCAGGATAGGGACCAGTGGAGGGTTCTTGTGAACATGGTGATGAACCTTCGGGTTCCATAAAATGTTGGCAAATTCTTGAGTAGCTGCACAAGTAGCTCCTCAAGAAGGGCTCAGCTCCATGAGTGAGTAAGTAAGTAAATAGAAAGGTGGAGTGGCCTCTAATGCCATGATATTCATTCAGACTTGGTTAAAAATCATCATTTGACTTAAAAATTTCTTGGAGAGGAGAAGCACATATGCGAACATGGACATGACAGTGCTAAATGTCTGTTTTTCATTATAAAATAAGAAAAATAAACCAAAAATTAATCATGTCTTTATAGTCACAAATTTAGTCATGACCTGCTTGTGTTTCTTGTATGTTCCATGCCAGTGTTTTTAATCTTTAACTAGTTATGAATAAGGTATCAGAGATGAGAAAATCTAGAGAAAGTTACCAGGGAAAAAATGTGTATTACTGTTGATATTACAATTTAATTGTTGTCTAATTATAAACCACTTCAGAGATGCCAGGACAGAAAACTATTCTTGAACATGTAAATTTGTGTAACTTAATAAAGGTAAGAATAAAACTATCCTTGTGCCTAAACACCAGTCATGAAGGCATATACGGACAATGACGTAATGTCAGCGCTTGGTAACCCTTTGCATTAAATGGAAATGAGTGATCAGCTTTATGCCTTTATGCCCTGGTATGCATTAGGTTGAGACTCAATGTGGTCTACAGTCATGTTGAACATGGTACAAAAAGGAAATATCATTCTACCCTATTATGAATTATAGTTGAGTCAACAAAAGAATCAGTAATTTTCCCCCACTCATCTGCCTAGCAGCTACCTTGCTCAGTGTGTCTTCCCTGTTCCCATTGGCTGCCACCATTTACAGGCAATGCAGTGTAGCAGGGTGGAGGAGCAAGCAGCTGACAACATGTCCCACTACCATGTCAATTCACTCACTCACTCACTCTGCTGTAGCCATCCAGCATGTAACTTAATGTTTAATGAATGACTTATCATCCTTCATAATAAGGGCTTAACTATATATAAAGTATACACTGTATATACGGTAGTGTGTACAGCCATTATTATGCAACCATGAGATAAACAAATATACCAGTGCCATTTCTAGGCAACAACTCAGTTAACACATGAATGTATAAGTGACCAATAAATCAAGTCCNGTCAACAAAAGAATCAGTAATTTTCCCCCACTCATCTGCCTAGCAGCTACCTTGCTCAGTGTGTCTTCCCTGTTCCCATTGGCTGCCACCATTTACAGGCAATGCAGTGTAGCAGGGTGGAGGAGCAAGCAGCTGACAACATGTCCCACTACCATGTCAATTCACTCACTCACTCACTCTGCTGTAGCCATCCAGCATGTAACTTAATGTTTAATGAATGACTTATCATCCTTCATAATAAGGGCTTAACTATATATAAAGTATACACTGTATATACGGTAGTGTGTACAGCCATTATTATGCAACCATGAGATAAACAAATATACCAGTGCCATTTCTAGGCAACAACTCAGTTAACACATGAATGCATAAGTGACCAATAAATCAAGTCACCAATCCAAACCCCATCTATAGTCACTCATACACGTGACAATAGTTTTATCATTTATGCAGCATTAAATTGTCACAATCTACAAGACAGATTATACACCCACATACTAACAATTGAACAAAATGTTAATGTCACACTGATCCTCTTGTCAGTTGTTAAATTAGCTGCCCATTGACTAACATATTTCAGTACACTGCTCTACAGTAACCACATAATAACTGACTCCATGGGTGCAGATTTATTTCAGAATGTATAGATGGAACTCAGACCAAATGAATTCATTACAAGGTCTGACAATAAAATTTGCAAACATGCCACCATGTGCTTGCCATGGCAGCGGTGGACAGAAACCTCAGTATGGTTTGGCATATCAGCGTTTCACAGCTGTGTTGTTATTGACTATGGCAGTCTCTTTCCGAATGGCATCTATTATTGTCTGAGTGTGCTTTCGTGAGCCGTTGCGAGAATGTCGGAGCTTAAATTAGAGCACGGTCTGTGAGGGAGTTTTTTGCTAATAAACAAATAACTGTGCTGCAACACCCTTCCTATTCACTGGATCTAGCTCCCAGTGACTTTTTTCTCTGTTCCCAAAGATGAAGGAAATATTGAAAAGTATGCATTTTGATGACAGTGATGCCATCATNACAGAAACCTCAGTATGGTTTGGCATATCAGCGTTTCACAGCTGTGTTGTTATTGACTATGGCAGTCTCTTTCCGAATGGCATCTATTATTGTCTGAGTGTGCTTTCGTGAGCCGTTGCAAGAATGTCGGAGCTTAAATTAGAGCACGGTCTGTGAGGGAGTTTTTTGCTAATAAACAAATAACTGTGCTGCAACACCCTCCCTATTCACTGGATCTAGCTCCCAGGGACTTTTTTCTCTGTTCCCAAAGATGAAGGAAATATTGAAAAGTAGGCATTTTGATGACACTGATGCCATCATGAGTAATACGATGGCAGCTCTGAACGCCATTCCACAAAACCAGATCCAAGATTGTTTTGAAGGGTGGACTAGGCACTGGCATCAGTTCATAGATTCCCAAGGGGAGTACTTTGAAGGTGACCACAGTGATATTCAGCAATGAGGTATGTAGCACTTTTACACGACGAGTTCGCGAACTTTACTGTCAGACCACATATATTCATAATCTGAGTCACACCTAAAAACAAATTATGCTTGACAGTACATACCTTTTCTGTATCTGGAATCTGTACTTTGTGCTCTTTGAAGTATGTCTGTTTTGCTCTTGGTGACAGAACTGTACTTTCTGTGGCAATGGATGAGGGGATGCTGAGAATTCCTGGTGTACTGACATGGTATCTGCCATCTCCAGTGCTCGCAGTATCATTATCCATTGTACTCCTTCTTTAGTCCTGCAGAAAAATTAAACATGATACAATACATATTGTGAAAAGTTTCAATAAGAAATCAGAGACATGTGACATGTAATAAAACAAATAATTCCATTTGCTTGCTATACAATATTTTTCTGACAGTTCAAATTAAATTCATTCAATTTGTTGCTCATATATGATGCAAACCTCGAATATATACATTTCCAATTTATTTATTTCTCTTAAATTACAATTTTGTTATATACACTGTAAACATCTGAACTGTTAACACCAAATTCAAAGAACACTAGC